GGTCGGAAATTAGCCACGGAACCAATTACGTAATTACGTAATTTTCCGAGCGTTCGTATGCAAGTACTATCTAATTTAAATTAGATTGCGTAAGTACGGAATTTCTAGATAACACTCCGGATTTAATATATTTGTTACAAAATTCCAATAACGGAATTTTCAATTTTAATTCTCTGAATTTTTAAATTATCTTTTTTTTTAAAAAAATGGCCTCATCTGATTCAAGCGACATTCAAAATGATGTTAACAAATCTCAACAAGAGGTGAGTATCATTGATAATCAAAATGTTTTACCTACCCATGATGAAGGATTGAAAGAAGTAGAAAAGTCGGGTGAAGACGTTACGGTTATTAGTGATACCAATTTAATTGAAAAGGTAATTCATTCATGTCCTTTAATAATTCATCATTAAATAATTATGATGTATTTCAATGATTTTATTAATAACGTTTCTGGAAAGGCTCCATCTCCTTCGGATGAAGGCAAACCAATAATTGCTGCAGAATCCACTAATAGTAGTTCCTCTTCAGTAATCTTTACTCAACCGACTAGTGCTGGATCAATGATTTCGGATGAAGACAAATCAATAATTGCTACAGAAGCTACAAATTGTAGTTCCTCTTCAGTAATCCTTACTCAAATGGCTAGTACTGAATCCAAACATTCGACGAGTGCTAGTTCTTCCCCAACCGTTCCTAATATGACTATTTCAAGTGAACCCAGTAAACATAGTCGCAGCGGGAGTGAAGCTCGTAAGAAAGGGCCTCCTCCTCCAGTTCCTCCCAAACCAAAAAATATTGCTGTGAAACCACGTATAGTTGCCCCGTCCATACAAACAAAAGATAAAGCTAAATTACAAGTATCGGATGGTCAAGAGACCAACAAATCAATATTACCAAATTCAAATACTATCGAGATAGGAGTAAATGATAGAGGATTGGATAGTCCAGAGACAAAAAAACCAACATCACAAGATTCAAGTACTATTCAAATAGAAATAAAGGATGATGTATTACAAGAATTGAATAGCACCGTGACTGAAAAACCAATGGTACAAAATACCAGCCATATTCAAGCGGAGGTGAATAATAATGTACAAGAATTGGATAATCAAGAGGTCAAAAACCCAACGTTACAAGATTTAAGTACTATTCAAGTGGAAGTGAATAATAATGTACAAGAATTTAATAGCACTGTGATTGAAGAACCAATGTTACAAAATACCAGCGATATTCAAATGGAGGTGAATAATAATGTACAAGAATTGAATAGCACTGTGACTGAAAAACCGATGTTACAAAATACCAGTCATATTCAAATGGAGGTGAATAATAATGTACAAGAATTGGATAATCAAGAGGTCAAAAACCCAACATTACAAGATTTAAATACTATTCAAGTGGTAGTAAAAGACAGCGAATTACAAGAATTA